CTCAGAATGTAAAGCTGAAATTTCAGCATCATTAAAATTCACTAATACATTTGTTTGCAATATGTAAATTTTATGCATGAGACACAGGATGTGTCTGGTACAGCTAGAAGCCTCATCGTTTGTTTAATCAGGCAAATCATTTTGACACTGTTTCACAGGTGAAGATCTGGTTTCAAAACAGACGAGCCAAAGAAAGGAAAATGAACAAGAAGCGACTCCAGCAGGCTGAGCAGAGCTCCACATTCACACCGGTCAGCGCATCCGGCCACGCAAACACCGCCATGGTCAGCAGCACCAATAACGGCTTGATGACAGACAATATATCGACCAGCATCAAAGAGGAATACTAAAAACTCTTCCAGACAGAAGGATAAACAGTACATGTTTACACGGTTTCAGTGACGCTGAGCGGAGCGTTCATATTGCACTACACGAATGACACGCAAACACGTTTTATTGTGAATAACACGCACAGTATTTCAATTTTTGTAAAAAAAAATGATGATCTCAGAGTATGTTGAATAATGCTTTCTTCATTTCTGTACTGCTTTTGATATGACCTCACTAACTACTGGTGATGATTTGATGACTATTTGTATCACTACTGCTTTGCTTTACTATGTAAAATATTTTACATCTACTGGATGATGGAAAAATGACTTCTTTTTTTAAATAGAGTCAACTGGTGCCTCTGTGTAATCGTTCATTTGTAAAAAGAGCATAATTTGAATAAAAAGATCATATTTGAGGAGAACGTAAAATTGCTGACATTCAGAATCTCAAGAAAAATCTTTTTTTTTTTTTTTGCATTTTGACATTATTTTCACAACAATTAAGCACATTTTTTTCCAAATTCCCTTTATTGTAAAGATAATTATTACTTTTGAGTTTTTTTGTAATTGCCATTATTCTCAATGACGATTCTCATTATATTAGGCAATTTTTTTTTATATAAAATAGTTTTAAATGCCTTTTTTTGTCAGCATAAATGTAATAATAATGGTGTATAAATACTTCACAATTTATATTTTTATTAAAATCTAAATTTTGCACATTACAGAGTTTGGTAACACTTGAAGCTTTCAAATATGCAATTATAAAGGTATTCATATTTTACATTATAATGCATTATATAATTTCATAAGTAATTATGACCAGAATTGAAATGCATATTTGCAGACTCCTTGTTTATCATGTGTTTTATGCATTATACTTTCTAAAGATCTAGCTATGATTAGATAAGCGTTATAATGCATTACCATGGTGGTTACAATTATTCATAGGATCATACAATGCATCACAAGCTACATTACAAGCCATAATTAATGCATTAAAAAAGTGTTAATAAAAGTGTTACCTTGTTTTTTTTTTTTGTTTTTTTTTGGAAAACATCCTTAATGTTCCTATTTTTCAAATAAAAAAAATGACCTTGACATGTTGATCAGATTTAACTAAATCATACAACGACCATCTCTAAATCATGCTGTACTTTGAGAGGGTGGAAACCAGTTGGCGTGTGAGTGTTTACCGATCACAATGAGCCGCGTGGATCATAAGTCTTGATAACACAAGGAAACAAACACAGCTTATTGATAAAAACAGAAGCTGAAGAGGTGAGCAAGTATTCAGCGAAGTCAATCATTGACAGAGAAGCCAGAGGTCGAGCAGAAGTTGCGGGCCGCACGGACGTCATCGGATGGGACGGGTGGAGCCTGTTTTTGCAGCTCAGTCAGATGATTCATGTCAATTAAAGAGCCAATAAAGACCTGATGCCATAACGTTCATCTCATGTCCTTCAAGATCACGCGTTTGAACTGTTAATATTTGATTGGTTTCACAATGTCACCATTGACCCTCATCTGAAGGAGCGTTCCTGTGTCAAAAGTACTGAGACGTTTGACTTTAAGGACCGGGTCAGAATGTGTGTCAAAAGTCACACTTAAGTCAAATATAGTTCCATCTTCAGCAATACTTATAAACAAAACTGCTTTACTGTAATTCAATTACGTCCTATTATATTTTACACTGAAATTAATTTAATTGGCTGTTTTGAGTAAAAGTACAATTTGAGGAAGCTCAAAAAATTAAAAGGAAATTATAAGATAAAATAAAAGCGTGATTTTGCCTCCGAAACATAATCGAGTACTAAATTAGCCTTCGGTTTTGAGTACTTAAAGGGATAGTTCACCCAAAAATTAAAATGACCCCATAATTTACTCGCCCTCAAGTCATAGGTGTAAATGACTTTCGTCTTCCAGACGAATCCAATCGGAGTTATATTTAAAAACGTCCTGGCTCTTCCAAGCTTTATAATCGCAGTGAATGGGTGTTATTTTTGATCAGTCCAAAAGACGTCAAATAAAGTGCATCCATCCATCATAAAAAGTGCCTCACACGGCTCCGGGGGGTGAATAAAGTCCTCCTGAAGCGAATCAATGCGTTTTTGTAAGAAAAATATCCATATTTAAAACTTTATAAACCGTCATTTCTAGCTTGCGCTAACTTGCGCGTTCATTCAGGCAGATGATGTAGCGTAGTGTAAGGTCCGGTGAGAAGTGACGAATGAGGAGGCGCAGAGGAGAGAGCATAACAAAACACCGGTCACAAATTAGAAGTACAAAACGAAGATTTGTAAAGAAAAATGTCGGAGGATTTTGATATAAGCCGAGAGGAGACTGGTTTTCCTTTGCTAAAGTATGGAAACTTTGCTTCCTTTGCTCCTGTAAACAAACGTCGGTTCTCGCGAGACTAGCATATTCTCACCGGACCTTACGCACATAGATATGTATATGCTTACGCTACGCTTACGTCATCCGCCGGAACGGCGTTCTATTGTGAACGCGCTTACAACAGTTAGCGGAAGCTAAAGATTACTGTTTATAATTTTTTTTAAATGGATATTTTTCTTATAAAAACATTGATTCGCTACTTTTTATGATGGATAGATGCGCTTTATTGGACTTCTTTTGGACTATTGAAAAATAACACCCATTCACTGCCATTATAAAGCTTGGAAGAGCCAGGACATTTTTTAATATAACTCTGATTGGATTCGTCTGAAAGAATAAAGTTAAATACCCCTAGGATGGCTTGAGGGTGAGTAAATTATGGGGTAATTTTCATTTTTGGGTGAACTATCCCTTTAAGTAAGATATTCAACCAAATAATACTATTATTCTTCCTTCTGTGGTATACAAGAAAGAATGTTTCAATTGTTTTTGTTCATACAATGAAAGTCAATGTGGTCCAAAAAAAAAAAAAGCACTGAGAGGTTTTTTTTTAAATGGATATTTTTCTTATAAAAACATTGATTCGCTACTTTTTATGATGGATAGATGCGCTTTATTGGACTTCTTTTGGACTATTGAAAAATAACACCCATTCACTGCCATTATAAAGCTTGGAAGAGCCAGGACATTTTTTAATATAACTCTGATTGGATTCGTCTGAAAGAATAAAGTTAAATACCCCTAGGATGGCTTGAGGGTGAGTAAATTATGGGGTAATTTTCATTTTTGGGTGAACTATCCCTTTAAGTAAGATATTCAACCAAATAATACTATTATTCTTCCTTCTGTGGTATACAAGAAAGAATGTTTCAATTGTTTTTGTTCATACAATGAAAGTCAATGTGGTCCAAAAAAAAAAAAAAGCACTGAGAGGTCAAAAACTGTTGTGATGTAAGGATAAATTACTTTAATTCAATAATGTCCTATTATATTTTGCACAAAGTTTATTGCCAGTTTTAAGTGAAAGTTAAATTTTGAGGAGCTCAAAAAAGTACAAGTGTGATTTTGCTTTGGACATAATCATAATCAAGTACTAATTTAGTTTTCGGTTGTGGGTATTTAAGTAAGATATTCAACAAAAAATACAAAATGTATTCTTCTGTGGAGCACAACTGAGATATGATATATACAAAAACTGTTTTGGTTCATACAATGAAAGTCAATGGGGTCCAAAAGAAAACTGGGACCTTTTTAAAATGATCTACAATATAAATGTAAATTTTCACAGAAAAAAAGAAAGTTCTACAGTTCTACAAACTGCTTGTGGTCAAAAACTGTTGTGACATAAAAAAATTATGTTTGTTTTAATTAAAAGTAAAATTTGGTGAAGTTCAAACGAATTTAAAGGAAATTATATGGAATAATAAAAGTGGGATTTATGCTGCTGACAACACAAAATAATTATATTATTCTTCTGTGGAACACAAATTAGATATTTTGAATAGTGTTTCAACTCTTTTGGTTATACAATCAATAATGTTATATTTTACACAAATAAATTTCATTGGCTGTTTTAAGTGAAAGTAAAATTTGTGGGAGCTCAAAAAAGTTAATTATTAAGGAATAATAAAAGTGTGATTCTGCCTCAGAAACACAATTGAGTACTGAGATAGAATTCAGTTTCAAGAGCATTCGAGTAAAATATTTACCAAAATAATACTGAAAATGGTGAGAAAATTATGACAGACCATTTTATTTTTGTGCGAACCATCCCTTTAAGCACAGCTGACAGACATGCAAACCCATGTCTGGGTTTCAGATAAAACAGAGAAGAAAAACTGTAAATGAGTCAGTGTGCATGACATACATCCACATAAATGCATCTGTACGGCTCGCGCTTTAAAAATAGATCCGCACTTCAGTTTCTTGCTGTTGTGAACATATTCAGCCTATTAGTGCAGCATCTCATCCATCAAATACAGAGATTACTATCTTATTTCACGCTTTAGTATCTTTATAGATAGTAGAACCAGTTCACACTATTTTACACTTATCTTGATGAGCGTGAAAAAGCACACTGAAAACAGGAGAATAAAACAAAGCTTCAGAAAATAAAACGCTCATTTGGTCACGTGAATGAATTCTTCTAAACATCCCGACAGGACTTTATTTCCTTTCCCATTTTCTCGTGAAAGTCCATTTACAGCCGTGCAGATAACAGCAGGACGTTATTCTGTGTGTGTGTGTGTGTGTGTGTGTGTGTTTTAATCATTAGCCATCTGGTTGTGGTAAAGTGACACTGCTGAAGGAGGAAGAAGATGAAGATGCAGCAGCAGCATCTCCATCTCTGTAACCTCACAGCAAAAGCATGCTCAAAATTACTCCAAGCAAAAGATATTACTCTTTAGGGGGTTATTAGAAAACCGAAACTAAAACAATTAAAAAATGCTAGTTTCCTAAAGGCAAAATGTCTCATTTTAAAAATGTAATTCAGTTTAGTTTGTATAGGCTTATTTAGAACCAGAATGTCATGATGGCATCTGTTACGCTGCTGATTAATGATGGAACATTTTATTTTCTCAAACATTATTTAAACATTAAAGTAGACCATTTCAATTGCATTTAATATGCTTTACGTATATGATGCGGCCACCAAAATGGGTACATGATGTAAATAAATTAACAACAAAACTGAATATGTTTAAAAATGATTATTTATTTACACACTGTGGTGCATGAGCGAGAGCATTCACCTTTTGCACTGAGAAGGCATGAGATGCTTCCTTTCACACGCAGGAAGTCACATGATATGATCAGCAAACCACCTCGGACAACAGACTAAGATTTCCCAATCCACCATTTCAAAAGTTTAAAAACGAATAAAAAAGTGTTAATCAAAAACAATGGTTTCGGCCAAAATAATGGTTTAATCAAACTCATAATTATAAACATGTAACAGAACTCTTGCACACTAAAAAAACATACTTTCATTCAGCATGGAAAACAATAAATGAGGATCAAATGAGATTAAGATTAATATTAATATTCACATTAATAACCTAAATTATTAAGTCAATTTTATTTACATAGCGCTTTTGACCTTGCACTTTGTTTCAAAGCAGCTTTACAGAAAGTCATGATGTTAATGTTTTTAATAGCTTAATATCATCATGTCGCTTTTATCAGATTAGAGCTGAATGATAATATAGTTACATTTTGTGACGATATAAACAATAAAACAGTGGAGATTTGCTATATAGTATGAATCGCTTTATGTACTGTACAGTATGTATGGAAATAAAGTTTGCTATATATCCAACTTTATATAAAGACCTGGCCAATAATATAAATTTGTTTTAATTTTAGTTAAAGTATACTGTATGCATGCTAAAGCTAGACATACTTATATACAGTACTGAATCTAACTTTTTATATAGAGCTGTGTGATAATATAGATAATGTTTTGGAACTATATAAAGCAGTTAAGATTTGCTATATGGTATATATCGCTTTATGTGAGTGTACTGCATGTATGCAGATAAAGTTGTATATACTTCTACAGTATATCCAACAATATAGAGCTGGCAATAATTAACTCAATTAAATGTAATTTTTAATAGAAGCAACAAAGATGCAACAAAAATTAAGTGCATTTATATTTATGCCTTTGGCAAATGCTTTTAGATGCTATTTACTGTGAATTCAAGCCATAAAGTTTTTATCTGGGAGCTGAACACTGAACTAGTTTAGCCGGTAGGATCAACACTGTTTACTAGCAGGACTAGTAAGGACTTTACAAAACTTTAAAGCAGTTTAACCTGTCAGTGTGAGCGAAACTCTAGATATCATCAGGCCTTTTTCAGGCCATTTCCTGTACTTGAGGAACTTAAAGATATTATTACAGCAATATTTTTCTGTAAACAGAAACATTCTGTAAACGGTTTGAAACAATGTGTGCCATTTAAATAAAACTGACTGCTTCAACTCAATCCAGACGGCCAAATGCAGATGTTTGACATGTTTTAACACACAGACTCTCTCATATCGCTGTTACATTCTGCTAAAACTCAATCTAGCAAAGCTTAGATTTTCCAAATTTCAATTGCTTTGAAATGTTTTAATAATTTAAAATAACCCGATTGCTGTGTTTTCATGACACTTGTGCACATCGATCACCTCCTTGCTATTCATGATTAAAAGCTGACTTTCATTTGTGACCCTGGACCACAAAACCAGTCATAAGTGTACATTTTTTAAAATGTAGATTTATAAACCATCTTAAAGCTGAATAAATAAGCTTTCCATTGATGTATGGTTTGTTATGATAGGACAATATTTGGCCAAGATACAACTATTTGAAAATCTTGAATCTGAGGGTACAAAAAAATCAAAATATTGAGAAAATCGCCTCTAAAGTTGTCCGAATGAAGTTCTTAGCAATGCATATTACTAATCAAAAAATAAGTTTTGATATATTTACAGTAGGAAATTTACAAAATATCTTCATGGAACATGATCTTTACTTAATATCCTAATGATTTTTGGCAGAAAAGAAAAATCAATAATTTTGACCCATACAATGTATTTGTGACGAGAGGGGTGGGGCCGAGAGCCGTGGGAACGGAGCGAGGCCTGTGGAGTAAATGCTAATGCGCTACACCTGCGCCACTCACTGGTCTCGAGACCCACGGAGGAGCTCCGGAAGGATAAAAGGAGGAGTGATGACAGTGTTGGACGAGAGAGGACCAGGCCTGGATTTTATTTCGTGTTTTGGTTCTGCTTGTGCGCGACAGTCGTCCGCGAGGGGCTGTCGCGCTATTTTGTGTTTATTTTATTATTAAAGTTTTGTTCAAATGTTCGCCAGTTCCCGCCTCCTTCAACCTACGAACGTTGTTACAGTATTTTTGGCTATTGCTACAAATATACAAAAGCGAATTAAGACTGGTTTTGTGGTCCAGGGTCACATAT